TACTGGGGTAGCCACATAACGCCCGAATTGTTCCCTATCGCCAAGAACCAACTATCCGAGGAGGGATCATTACATTACAAAGCGTCACATAGTGTTACGCCAAATGATACAAGATGAAGTGAAAAGTAATAATAATAAAAAAAGAAAGCGCATCGAGTATCAGGTTGTCTGTCACTCCCAGCTCCCGCCATACCGCTCCTTTCCCCTCCATACGTCTTGAAAACCAGTCTCAGTCATGTTGTCCTGCCCCTGTCCCTGCTGCTGCTGCTGCTCTTGCTGTCCACTACCACTATCACCGCTAACCCCACCATCTAAGCCCCTCCGTGATGGCTACATGATAGTTGCATACTCCTGATACCTGTCCCAACCGAACCCCCCGAATCCGCTGCCAGTGCTGCACTGTTGCGCCACAAGACTGGGCAGAGGAAGTTGCGTCAGCGGGAGTTGATGCGATGGCGGCTGAGAAGAATACTGCTGCTGCTGCTGCTGCTGCTGGTGGTGCTGAGCCGGTGAGTTCATGCTTGGCACCTCTGACATTCCCATAGCCCCCCAACTGGATTGGTATGGTGCTGTATTCGTTGTTGGACTGTCTGTGTCAGGGCTCGATGGGAGCACCCTCCATGCCTCGACGGGTGGTGGTGGTGGAAGGGATGGTGGTGGTGCAGGCGGTGTTGGAGACCACCAGCCGGCAGCTCCAGGCGAGCTCGGGAGCAGTGGTGGTGGGGCTCGCACAACGTCGACAATTCGTGGTGGAGGCGGCAACAACGGTAGGAAGAAACCCAACACAAGGCCTCTAACCTCATCGCTCCGCCCGCAGAGCAACTCACCGGCCCCATCGTCCTCCATACCTTCCAACGCGATAACATCTGTTCGATAAACAAACTTGTTCACTGTCTGCACAAACTCCTCATGCAGTCTCTTCATTTGACTCTCTTTCTCAGTCCAATGCCAAGTACAGGACTTCTGGTCGATCAGGTAGATGTCTTTGTGGTACTCGATCAATTCCTTTATTGTCTCAGGTGAAAGCTTGTATGCGATTTCGTTTGACATAACCAGGTCAATGTGAACAACATAGGCTTGAATGTGTAACAGTTGATATCGGAAGAGGGCATCCAGGAGAGGGTGATTGTGCTTCTCGAGCTCGGCTTCAGGCGCACGCGGTATCATGAGACTACACAGGTTCCATATAGCTGAGTCCTGCGATAGTGTCTCCGTCAGGCATTTCATGTGCTGGGGAACACTGTTGAGTGGTCGCTTGATTCGGTTGATCCTCTTCAAGGTAGCGGTTAACCACGGGTCAACTGTTGTATTGAGGACGACTGTTGGTGACGAGCGGGGCGCAAACGGCGCAGCAGTATCCGGCAGCAGTAGGGCCGGCATTCTCGACATATAGAAAAGGGAAGGAGTAGCAAACGCCTATGAAGACGGGATACCGAGGAAGGGGTGGTGGTCTTAATACCAAGATTCCAGGTCGCAGTGCAATGTGTTCAAGGTAGCTGTAATGCTGGAGGAGGAGAGGGGGGAGGGAAGGGAGGGGTAATAACGAGAGGAATAGATGTTGGTAGCAAATTGACAAAGAACGTTGAATTTTAAATGTACTAAACATTAATAAACGTTATGGGCCAGC